CGCATGGAACTCATTTTGGGAAGAGTCACCAAATCAGTAACGCCATCATCTGTAACTTCGGAACTGACGGCTACTATCTAACGATGAAGAAATGCTTTTAAAAGGTGAAAGACTAAACCCTATTAACATTACCAAGTATAAGGGATGATCTCCACTCGACTGGTAGAAACAGTGGACGAGTCTTCTCTTCAGGATAACAGCGTTCCATGGTTCCTACCACTGATTCGCGGAGTCTAAGATTAGGGCGATTTCGACAATGACCCCAAAAAATACAAAAGAATAGCAACATACTGTTGTGCATTTTCGGCAATCAAATTTTCATATCCTTTTTGACCTATTCCATGCACAACAAGGATTAAATGTCCAACTTCAGCTGATCCATCCTCCCATTCCGCTTCTTTTTGAAATCCTCGTCGAAGAGCTTGACTCTTGCCCCATCCTATGTACCTAAATTAGTCATTTAACTTATAAAAACACATGATATAAACCAATACCAATGAAGATGATTTAAATACGCAAAAAATCAAAATTGCAGTTTCGTTTACGTATTTAATGTAATGTCACTAAAGATTTATAGGCAAAAAGTAGCATATCAAACTGAAAGAAAAAGAATATATAACAAATAGACTCTTCAGACGATATGTAAAAATTAGAAGAGAGAATGAACGATACCTAAGAATAGCGCCTCTTTTAAATGACAAGGAAACGTCTATGACCGAGCTCCATCGGATTTCCATACCTTCCAGTTGCAGTTCGGTTAGTTCTACAACAAGACTAGCTGGAGATATGATGTAAGTTGGCAGAAACAATAGTGCAAAAATTGATGGATGAAGAGCATAAGATATGAAATACATACGTGGTTTATTACTAGCCTCTTTCGCGGAAAATACAGTGGTCCCCTCAGGAATCGTCTGTCCTCGGAAGTATTGTAGGTGATGAGCTTCAATCGCGTCAGCTATAGGAGGTTCCAGAGGCTGCCAATCCTGAAAAATGGAATCATTGCGGAAGAAACTGGAAAGTTATAACATTTGCAAGTAAAAAAAAAGATTATTCGTTATTATTGTTCAGCGATATTGATCCTCAGCGCCCTATATGCACTCATAAAAAACTGCCTACGACTGCAAATAAATGCATTGATTTTGCATGTCTCTTTTTCCGAAAAATTCTATTCAGATATGGTTAAAAATAAGTTCAGTGAAGGTGTGGTAATTATAAATCTAACCTGACTAAACCATGTACCCCTACGTATCTCACAAGAATCGGCCTTCCAGTATATAGAGTCCACCTTTGTGAGATCATCATTGACTCTTAAAAAAATAGCTTTTTGATATACAAAGCGGAGGAGATAAAATGGAGGCAGATAGAAACGAAATTAACTCACTTATACAGACCATCTAATACCACCACAGATTGCCGTAAGCTAACATCGTGTTCAAGTAGTTCCACGGTCATTTGGTCGTCAATAGGAATAGAGAATACTGATCTA